AATGGATATAAAATATAATGGAATTCTGTCGATGTTACAGAATTTCTTGGCTTGAAGGAGCTGTTTTCCCAGGAACATGTTCACGAACTGCAAATCAATGGTTTTTAGTTCAAGGATCAATTTCCTTAATTTTCAAATTCTGTAGTCCTATTATGAAGTGGCAATACAATCATGATCTTTGTCTTTCAAATTTTATGTTAATCCAAGTCACAAGTAACTAAATTCTGTGTGAACATTTATTATGTGTTTAAAGATAGATAACGAAAGGCAAAGTCTTTCATGGTGGCCATCAATCATTTGACAGTTATGGTAACGCTTGCACCTTAAGTTTTCCCCGGTGACCCACACGCTTTAAACACATCCTTTTAATTTGACGGTGGTTCAGTTTCCATGGACTGCAGTCCACCGACCAACCCAGCTGCCACTACTATATAATAAACAAACAACCTCAAGTGAACAAACGAGAATACACATTAGTAACAAAACTACATTAAAAAAAATTGAAGGTATGTCTTCCAACCCAGGGGAGGGGTCTAATACAAAGAAGAAAGCAGCTACTGCTGTGGCAGCTGGAATAGGTCTTGCTGCATTAGCATTGGGTATTGCTGCATTAGCATGGGGATCAGTTTCGGACGAACCAGAGCCGCAAGATGACAGGAAGAAGATGAAGGCACCAGGAAGGGATGGCGTACTCATCTACAGGGATGATTTCGAGGGTAACCCAAAAGACTATTTCCGACGGTATCGCGATGACAAAAGGAGCAAAAAATAAATAGGGGCTCGCAACTCTTACATGTCATGATCATGGAATTGTTGCAGCTGTAGTGTGATTTGATGTTTTCGGGATCTACTGGTTGTGTAATTTCCCATTTCCTAGTTGCTAATGATATTCTGCATATTTGTGTTTGCTAGAGTTTGTTCAATGCATATGTAAGATCAGAGGCTTGCGTGTTCTCTGATATATATATATATATATATATATATATATATATATATATACGTATAATGGAAATAAAATATCTTAGCAGCTTGTGTTTTAAGTTAATTTATGAGTTCCAGAATGCATGTATGGACAGGAAAAAGAGCATTATTGTTTGGTGCTGGACAAACAACACTAGACATGTTGAATTCGCCTTGGCATCCACCATACTTTTGCCAAGAAAATTAATCAGAGCTACAAGGAAGCACAACAGAATACTTGGAAAACAAAAAATTGTCAAGGTCTCCCCATCTTCCTTGCTTGTGCTCCCTAGTGAAATTAATCAATTTAAAAAGAGATGAACTTCTTGCTAGTCATTACACTGTTCAAAAAACTTTATAGATAAAAAAAGAGTAGTACGTTTTCCTCCCATAGACATACACATATATGGTGTTATAGACGAGTTGAAGGAAAAAATGAACAATATGCATATGTTTAGAGGAGGAGGAGAAGAGTCTCGTTCCATTTCTAGGTCAGGGCGATATCCGTTAAGATAACAACGATCGTTTTCAAGTGATTCTGGAACTCGAATCTAAATACGTCCATTACAGGCCAAGTCCTTCCTACGAAGGACAAGTCGTTGCTGGTACGAGATAATTGCAGTATACAATCACTTCACTGCCATAAGAAAGTCAGTATAGAATTTCCGCGAACTGGGTAGTGGGAACTGACAGCTATTCCTTCCTTCCCAATCTTTCACATTTACCCACAAAACGCAGTTGACTCTCGTTGACCAATTTCTTAATTAAATCCCATCCTGCTTTAAAAAAAATAAAAAAAAAAGAAGTGGAAAGAGCATAAATAATTTCTCGTAAGATTTGCAGATGTTTGTTACTTTATCCCCTCAAAAATTTGGCTGTGGGAGCTCCAAATTTGAGTTCTTAATTTTTTGACTGTGCAATCGGATTGCTATTTCTTGAAGTTTTTGTAGAAAAATATATTATAATAATTTGATGTATGTGAAATAAATTAATATTATAATTAAAAATTATATTTGCAGAAAACGTAAAAATTTCTTGAGAAAAAAAAATGCCAATTCAAACAAGCCTAATCCTTTCGCACAGCACCAAACAACGCCAAAGTGACTTCTATCATCCGATGTAGTGCTTCTTCTTTTTTTCTTTTTCTTTTTTTTATTCTAACTTTTCAAACAAGGCCTAAATCGTACGCACAGCACCGATCAATCAACGCCAAAGTGACTTCTATCATCCGAGGTAGTGCATCTTCTTTCTTCTTTCTTTTTCCTTACTTTTTTCTTGATCTACTTTCCAAGGCAAGATGATTGATCAACAGAAGTTAAGAGAAATAAATAAATGAAAAGAAAAAGTTTGATAGCTAATGGTTACCTACTCACGAAGCTTAACTATAAAGAAAAATAGGAGAATCGATTGTAGTTTCCTTCTCGAGGGGAACTTTTTCATGGTTGGATTCTCAGTATCTTTGCTCCTCGTTTGTCCCTACCTTCTTTCTACTTCTTAGGAGTTAAGAATCACAAAAGTAGAAGAAAAGGAATATGAGAAATGCAATGCTACTTGAGTAGCTCCTTGAGAAGGTAGGGCCCGAAGGGGAAGCCTGATCAATTGCTTCCTTTGAGGTGATCAAGAATTATTTGCATGAAGAAAGTATCAAGTCTTATTTACATCAAAAAAAAAAAAAAGGGAGAAAATAAAAAAGAATAATAATATGTTCACCAGTTAAAGTTCCCGTGTGTTCATCTCCGAAGAGACTTCTTATATTTCCTTTTCCAAATTTTCGTACTTTCATGGCTCTAGAATTTACATGAAGAAGATTTTTTGTTTTGCTTAAGTGAGAAAGGCTTGATCCTCTGATTTTTGCAGTGATCTGCAAGTCTAGTTTGTATTTTAGCTCGATGAAAATAGCAAATATCTTGCTAATTTTCTTGCCAATTTTGCAACTGATCAAAGATATGTACACAAAACTTAAGAATATGTTTCTTCAAGAGTTTGAAGCATTTAAGGATCATATATATATAATCACAGGCCCAAAGCAACATAACCATCATCATCGTCGTCGTCATTACACAACCATCTTCTACGACCAACATGTTGACGTTTGATGATATGAAAGAGTTACAGACACCAAAAGCCAGAAGGGATTTTTTTTTTTTTTTAAAAAAAAGGCAAATCTGAGAAGAGAACCATAGCAAAGATTCCGTTATTGGTAGGAGGCAGGCTTTGTAGTTTATATAGTTGTAGTGGTAGTGATCTCTTAGCAGAGTTGATCACCAGGATGTGCACGAAGATTTCTAAAATATGATTTGGGGTTGGCCTCAAATGCAGGTCTTGGCATCCTACAGTTTCTGCCTGGAGCTTTCATCATCTTGACTCTTCTCCCGCCTCCACATTTGCAACAGCACTTATAGCAGCAATAGAGCAACAGAGACAGAACAACGCCAGCAATGGCAATTGGTAAAGCAATCCGCAGCCAGTGATGCAGCTTCTCCCCTCTTGTTTCCGGTGGAAATATCTTGTCAAACCATTCCAAGAATTGCCCCCAAAGGTTTTCCATCGCTTGCCATAGTTCCTTCAGCTTCTCCACCACAAACTTTTCTACGCTCTCTATCCCCATCTCTGATCACTCCTCTCTATTCAGTACTCAGTCCCTGCTCCCTTTGATTGCTTCCTTACATATCTGTGTCATTAGAATAAATATCCCCCGTTAGTTGACTACGCTTGGACAATGGTCCACAAGGGGGAAAAATGATTGCATTTTTCCATTTAAAAAATATTATTATATTGTAATAATTTTACGATGTTAATAGTTTACAAGCGACAAAAAATGTTTATGAAATTTTGATCTAGTGACTAAAATTGTAATTTCAGAAATCAAAAGCCTTGGATTCAATTTTTTTTTTTTTAAAAAGAAATGAAAAGATAATTACAAAACATACTTAAAAACCCAAATTTCCAAAGGTTATATATATATTTTTCAACCCTCTCGTCTTCTAAGAGCAGAGTGGCTCCATATTAATGCTATATTGAAATGGGTAATATCCATTTTTCCGGTAGTATACGCATGAAAATTAAATGCATGCCAAAGTGGCTCCATATATTTTCATTCGGTGATTACACAGCAATTTAAATGTAACAATTTTGATATGAAATGAGAAAATAGTAGGAAAGCATGCCCACCTCCATCATTCAAACACTTAAACCAAAAAAAAAAAAAAACTCGAACATGGTAATATCCTTCTCGAATAGAATGTTTTCAATTTTTTTTTCTTTACTACACAATTTATTTATTCTATTCTGTAACAATTTTTTCCTTCGATTCATTTTAAGTACTAAGTAAATCCGAAATCTTCGTTGCGTTTGGATTGCATTTTTCATGAAAAAATTACTATAACGATTTGATATATATGAAAAAAAATAATAATAAAAAAATATGATCACGAAAAATGTCGTTTGACGGATCCAAACAAGGCTTCATTCCCAACCAAACATGAAAACAAGAGCCTGCACTTTCCCGATTAAAGTTGACGACTTGACCCAATAGTCTTGCTGTTCCTAGTCTTCATCATTAATCTTGTCAAAACCGAAAAAAAAGTCTTCATCATTAATATGGAACCGCTGAATTTTCCCTTCCACAATTTTGTCGGGATATGTGGAAGATTGGGAATGATGGATTATTACTTCCAACCAAATTCCAAGAAATTCCGCTAACCTAACCCTCGTTTGGAAAAGTAGTATGGGACTGGGCCCCAATCCATTTAGTGCAATTGACGCATAGGCAGTACGACATTAGGAATTAATAATGTGGTTTAACAACCTCCCCAATTTTCCTAGAATTTTCCGTCACAAAAGCCTGGTAACCAGCAATCAATTAGCTAGAAATTTCAAGGGAAAAAAAAAACACTAGGAAGATTAGGAAACTTCGAAAAGGAATAGAAAAAAAAAAAAAAAACTGCCATCCACAAATTCTTGCACTCGTCCTGACTACTGATTTCATGATCAGGATCCTAGAAATTAACTAAAGAGACCAGAGTTGTCAAAGAGCAAAATAACAGTCAGGAAAATTTCGATATTATTGCATTTTAAACTTTTTTTTTTGAGCTCCAAGGGATGACAAAAAGGTGAAATCAAGAATTTTCCAGGAATACATTTACAACAGCACCAGCTACTACGCATATGCATGGCATGGCACGGCGTGCTCTGTAATTGTGCCTTTTCAAGTAGAGACCTACAAATGGTAACTGTAACACAAAACTCACCTCCCATAGTCTATTTGCGATGTGTCCTCAACATGGCATTTCTTCAACACACTCTCGCTAAAGCCCAGCAAGCAGACTAGTTTGAATTGTTGAGCTAGGCTTGGTGAAAAGACTCTGCACCGTTAAAGCTATTCAAAACTAAACTCGTCCAATCTATCTACATCTCCAACTCCAAAAAATGTTTTGCCACCTAAACGTTCATCTGAAAAAAAAAAAGGGAAAATCACCATTAAGACAATTCAGTATATTTGATGAATAGCCACATGTAGCCCGTCATTTTTCCGGTCATATTCGATCAAAATTGTTTAGGAAAACCAGTTACTACATCACCAGGGTGTAAAAGCTTAAACCAATGTGTGGAAAGGAGGGAAATACAGCTTTCCAACTCAGACCATAATATACATCCAATGAGAGACACACAGGAGGGAGAAGTTATAACGTACCGTATTTGGAAGCTAATAAAAGTTCTGACAGCTGAAAGCTAAAGTTCTATCTCCTCCTCTTCCTGCCTTTCCCCAATTGACCAGATTTAAATGCATGTTCTTGTTCTTGAAGGAAAGCCCTTGCTTTACCATACTTCTCGGCTCTTTCATCCTCAAGTAGCTTCTTGTCCTTTTCCTTCACCTCAAACAAGAAGTAATTATCTTTCCGAAGTTCACGAGCAGCACCTTTAGCTTCACGTTTTAAAAGTTTCTTCAACTTTCTCCTCTCAGCTCGTTCACGATCTGGATCATAATCTCTCCCCTTTACAAAGCTAGAGGATTGCGTCCAACAATTAAAAATCAGGCGGCAGCTCATACTAAGTATTATTTTTTAAGAGTAACAAAGACACAACTTGTCACAAACATACTTATCCTCAAATTTCGGATTAAGCATCTTGATTGGCACCGGCTTTTGCTTTCTCATTTGGAGTGGCTGACGCAAAACATGATGCTCATCAGCTTTCTTCTCAATAAATTGGGCCACATCTCTGAGCTTGTCTTTCAACATTTCTGGCATGCAATGTTGCCCTGCCAGCTTATGCAATACCTTTGATATCTGTAAAAATATTTCGGGAAAGGAATTGAATCCTTCATAGAGGTTGACAAATCCTTTAAGAGTTTCAGCAACTGCTGCGATAACACTAGCCCTGTCAACAAAAGCATTCGCCCTTAATTAATACTCATCAACCTCAAAAGGGAACATCTGTAGAAAAATATGCTGCATCAGAGGCTTAACAATCAGGAAAAACATGATTAAAAAAACAGCACCAAACAGGTATACACGATGTATCCAACATCAACATATAGTCATAAAGCACATATCTAGCTGCCACAATTTTGATAGCATTCACTGCAAGTGAAATAGCCCCTTTACACCAATTCTTTCTGAACAATTTATGCCTTTCCTTTGAGAAGTATATCAGTGATGTCATGCACTAGATAAATAGAGACGCTCAACTAACAAACACAGTGTACCATTAACTACAGCAAGAAAAAAGACTGACCTGAAATTATCAGAGTTGAAATGAGGAGAATCTTCTGGCAAGTCGATCAGCATAAGAAAATCTAAACGGTTGATCTCCTTCACACTACTCTTGATACAGAGCAGAGGTTTTAGGGTTTTGATTTCCATAAGATGGTGTAACTGCATTGAAAACAAATGCATAAAGTAGCCTCATCTACTGTACCTTAAAGGGAAATTCCCACTAATGATTGGCTAAAAGCAAGTCAAACAATAACTAGTAAAAGAAATAGGCAAGAGTCAAAACTAACTTCCATGATTGGGAGAAAACAAGGAAATCTTTTGCTATGTAGAAAAAATGCTTTCAACAAGAAGAACCCTCGAGAGAAAAAATTATGTATAGGGCACATGGGAACTGGCAATATGCTATGAAAACCTAATATATTGATTGAGCCATACCTGATGGTCATCAGCTGATCCTTGAATCTTGTCAAAAGCCGCCAAGAGCAGAGTTCTAATGAATGTTAAAGCCTCAGGACAAAGTTTTCGGGATTGTTTCGTGACCTGCAAACAATTTCACAAGTTGAAGAAAGTGTAGACTTACAAGTGGCCTGGGCGGTACACCCTAATAAGGTACATCTAATGGTAAAACAAAAAATAATAATAAAAACACTAAGACAAGTTGAGTGCACCTACAGAGAGCACCATAGAGCATAAGAAGGAACCAACTACAATATCCCGACCAGACACAACCTGACACCGCATCAAATATTCACACATCAGCAAGATTGCTGGTGTCATGACCACATGACGAAAATCGGAGCACGGAAAGACCATGGACCACAGCCTCAAAAGAAAGATTGTTTTCAAAGAAGGCCAACAGCTTTTCCCTATGATAATGGAATAGCAGAAAATGTGAGATATATTGAAGATGGTCCAGATTATGCAGGAAAATCTTTGCAGTATACTAACAGTAATGCCAGAGAACTACAAAATTTAAAATGTCAATCACATCCAAACCTGTAGTTTTAATGTTGTCAGAGAATTGTGCCCGAGTATGTAATAGTCGTTGACGAGCACATATGGCAGCAAAGTATGGGATCTCCGCACTCATTTCCATCAATGGCTTCACAAGCAAATTCAGCAGCTTGAAGTTCAATGGCTTCTTACTTGCTAAAACAGCAAAGTATTGCAATAGAACACCATAAAACACCTGGCAATAACAATTGCATTGATTGATATCAGTTCATCTGGAAACAATATACAGAATGCCAGCTCCAACTTGCAAGTTCTAAACAAGAAGAATCACTTCACGCATACTAGCACCATGCGATCTCTGTCACAGTATTTGACAAACAAATATATATGGCAAAGTTAAAAAGACAATTGATAGACATCACAAACATCAATCATACACTAATTTGTATATGGCTAAAGCAAATGATAGTCTCTTGTTTCAAGGGTTGTCAATGAGATGTTTCATTACAGAACAAGAGAGGAAAAAGAAAACAAACATTTCCAAAACCATAATCAATAAAATAGCAAATCAAGAATTAAAGTTCCATACTTGCATTTTCTTTCTGTTTTCTGCTGCAACATGGATCGCATTGAATGCACGAATTCTCCTTATTGCTTCAACAATTTGATCATCAGAACAGTTCTCCAACAATGAAGTAAATTCTTCCAGGTTTTTTGGAGCTTCAATTGTATACGGAAGTTCCCCTTGCTGAACCGATTGTTGCTTGGCAATTGCTTTCTGGCTTTCAGTATCAGATAAGTTCATTTGCTTTTCCTTCTTTTCTTGTTCCTTCTTCTTTCTTTCCACCCTATCACCGTCACTATCTTCATCATCCTGCAGATAAGTATCAATTTTGTCATCATCACTCTGTTCCCAGTCTTTCACTGAATGAGTTTTGTCATGTTCATCATCATCCTCATCAGACTCTTCTTCACTATCATCTTCACTGCCCCCAGATTCCTCTGTAGAAGCAGCATCCTCACTCCCAAGATCTTCTGCATTTTCCCTTTGCAAGATCTGTTGAATCCATCCCAATTTAGTTTTTTTGTCTTCATGTGAAAATGAGTCACCAAGATCATCACCAGATAAAGATCTGAATTGTTTGGAGGATGCATCATTATCATCTGAACCATCAGGTTCTTCATCACTTAATTCATCAGCAGCAACCATTCTTTTCTGGCGCTCTTCCTGACATTGTGGAACAGCATGAAAGTTAACAGAAGTTCCTATAAGGTTTATTTTTCCAACTTCCTACAGTCTATATCGATGATTTAAAACCCCCCCCCTCCCCCAACAATATACATATATCCATGTCCTTTCCGATAAAGGAAAAGCACTGCACATAACATTTCCCCTTGTCTTCATGAAGTAGATTATGAAATCTACTGATATTCCAATCCAAGACATCTATATGCAAGCACAAAAATCACAATTGGGCAGGTGCCGGTACCATCATTGAGCAATACATACAAATATCATCAAATACAAATCATTACACAGCAAGGAAATCATGTAAACTACACTCTGTTTTACTCAGGTGCAACGAAAATTGCCAAAAGAGGGTCTACTGCCAAATGGGAAGCCAAAAACGAACACAATACTATGACTGGTTTTGTAATGTTGTTAATTAAGATACAAGACTTCCATGACTTACTGTATTCTGAAAAGAAGAAGAAAAGGGCCAAGAGAATTGTATAAAGATAATTTCATCCCTAATTGAGCTTATGCGTTGTGGCATAATTTTCATCATAAACGACTCTCCTAATTCATAAGGAGAAAACATTTTTTCCCTTTCTTTTCGGGCTCCCAAAAGAGAGACTTAGTTTATAAGTAGTAAGATGATCTCATCAGCAACTAAAAATACCTCCAATTGCTCCAAGCGTTCTTTCTCCTCTTGTGCAATCTCTTCAGCTGACTTTGTACGGTCTGATGGGCGAGCACGCATATCCAGTGCCATCTCACTTACAAGTTTGTCATAGGAATCAGGTTTTTCCTGTAAGGTCATTATAGCCATAATTATTCATATAAAGTCAAGTAAGTAATTGAATTGAACAAGAGATATATAAGAAAACCACACAGTTGGAGGGTAAAAAATATGAGATTAAGGCCTTATGAAGAAGCGTGCGGTACAATAGCATCAGATGGACCAACATGACAAAGAAAATAGAGGAGCTTTAAGTTATCAGAAATTCATTTAACAGCAACATAAGTGAGGAACCAAAAATAAAAGACAGAAAACAGTTTCTAAGGGAGTAGAGATGTACTTACCAGTCGAGTAGCAGTTTTGTCCAGGGCTGGAGATGTGTCATGTTTCTTTTCTTCATTTTTAGAACTGCTCTTATTAACAAGGGCTCTCAATGCATTCATCTTGTTTGGTTGGGTCAACGACAACAGTGCCTCAGACTGCACCAACGATGTAAATTCTTGGTCCAGTTGATCAACCAACTGCTCATTTTCCTCCTTATCCTTAGCCTTCTCGGCCTGGAAGAAAGCAATGGAAATACACATTATCGAAAAGATCAAGTAACCATGCTTTTAGACAGTAAACAAGTTACATAAAGACACAACCTTAAAGAATTTACTCTTGGAAATTATCTCCTCCATCACTTCTCTTTTGCTTTTCTGCCTCTGAAACAGAAAAATCACATGCATCAGGAGCACGAACAATTTCATAAATAATTTCCAAGGGGATACTAAACTACTTTAGACGTATTGATGCCAAACTGCTACAAGTTAAATGCTTAAATGACATTTACATAACCTCACACCAAACTGGCATGCATAAACTAATATGACAACCCAATTTGGGAATAACAGGAAGCCTCAAAACACATGTAGAAAAAAAAAAAAAAAAAAAACATAGATACTAGTCTTTTTCTCATCCTATCAACCCCAGGGGCTTCACACACACACACACAGTGTCAAGGCAATCAAAAGAGTTTATGGAAGAGAGCAACCAATTGTGATATTATGATTAATCATGAAAGAAACAAAATCTCTACTTTCTTGCATAAATCAACTACTTGAAATACCATGTAAGAAAGGTAGCTAAAATGTATGAGATGGGGGATGAGAGTCTCACGGTTTCCTGTCCCGCTAAACCTGTTTGCTGAGCATTCTGCACTGCAGTGAAATTAAGCTCTCCCAAAATATCTGACTTCTCTGGCAGAAAAAGATTTATTGCAATTTAGTCATAGCATAGAGGATAAAAAATTGAGGAAGGACAACATAGCTACAACTATCAAATTTATGGACTAAAAAGTTTAAATGGTAAAACTAAGAACATCATCAATATCTTATCCTTCCCTATATCGTAGAACTGCAACAAAGGATGAGCACGGATTGCAGATGGACCAGCTATACTCCAAAGAAGAACAGAATTGAACACAAGACAAGGCATCACATACTTAACATGATAGGGGCATGCTCAGAAGTAGCATTTTTCCACAAACATTAACAACATGCCAACACTTTTAAAACAACCATGCCATGCATTACTCAATACCTAAGATCAGAAAGATCTTGCACTTTAGATAAATAAAACACAAAAAAGTGAACATGTATTAATCACTATTATCTCAACAACCACATGAATCACTATTACTAACATGCTCAAGTTCTAGATTTTTATCTACTGACAGATCTAAATCTACAAGTTGAAACCTTTGCACAACTGAAATAGCTTTTAAATCAGGGATAAAAACTGGCCCAGGTTCTTCTGCTTTCACGATATTTAAAACAGGGATAAAAGCAGTGCCCTGATCATCAACAGTTATGTTCGAATTTTACATGTATTTACCTCCACCGACAAATGACACCCACAATCTTACAGTTGGAGATGTTTTTGAAATGAAAGAAACCAATGGGAAGAAGAATGGATAGACCTCCCACAATGGAGTTCTGAAAAGTTGTTCAGTTAGTGTGAGTCACATTATGTATTTGTTTTCTCACTTGTGTTATTTTCTAAAGTCCATCTTATGCTCGTCTATCCAACTCAATCACAAGAGAACATTAACAAAACCACAATACTACATTAACCTACTAGCACAAAAAAGAAGCAATTTTACTTCATTTACTAAAACATCACATACATTTATACAAGGTATGCATTTGTAAGCCGCTAAGGATTATATACATACTTGCATTTCCTGTTGACCCGTCATCCACATCCTCATCCTCATCAAATGGTATTTCATCATCAAAATCATCCTTTTCTGGAAAAAGACCACCTTGAATCTCAAGTTCATCCTCTTCCCCATCAGATAAATTATACTTGCTTTTCTTGCTCAACTTCAGCTGTCATTGATGGGAAAAAAAGGAAAAAAAACCGGTCTTACACATACATAGAAGCAAGATACAATAACATTGTAGCAATTAAAAAAGACAAGCAAGAAAAACTTTTGGTTACATAACAAAACCTTTCTGATCCAACTCACCTGCCTTTCACGTTGAGACCTCATAATAGCCTTATCAAACTCCCCAAGCAATTCATTTTGCTCCCCAATTCGCTTATCCAGAAAAACAGATGACTTTCCACTCTGTTCATACTCCTTCAACAGCGTCTTCTTCCTCTGCATCCCAAATTAAAACCAAAAAAGGAAAATCAACAACAAAACATCCAAGCACAACACAATTCAATCCAAAGAAACCAAAAAAATTTCTTTTTTTTTTGGTTTTGCAATTCACTCCTATTGAATTTCTTGCCATAAGTTGTAATCAAATTGACCTTTTCAATGGCAAGGGACCGAGCTAGGCCTATACGACGTTGTTCACCCTTGCGCTTTTTACCGAGGATATCGAATTTGCGACGGGACCAAATGGTCTCAAATGGGTTCGGTTGGGGGGCTTTTTGCTTCATTGCTACTGCATTTGGACCTGATCTTTTGTTGCTTTTCTTTTTATTTTTCTTCGTCTTTGTGCCGTCGGAGCTTGATTTCTTCGCCATGGGAGCTCTTCTTTACTTCTCAGAGGAATTTGGAACTGGATTAGAGCTAACCAGACGAAAAAGGGTTTAGGGTTTAAGGACTGGGGAGAAAGAAGAAGAAGAAGATGGCGAGCTGGGATAAATTGGGCTGGGCTCTTACACTCTATGGGCTATAAGGTCTTTCAACATCCACGGTTTTGTCCAACTATTTCCTTTAGTTCTTTTATTGGGCCTTGAACGAAAGAAAGACCACGTATTCTAGGCTACATGGATATCCTGTGGGTATTCCCGTAGTTTGATTTGTTGTTTACGACGACTAATTCATATAATTTGTAGTTTTACTACTACATAATTTGTAGTTTAGTGGGACTGTTCAAGTTTTTTGAGGTTTAAGAGTAAATATTAGTCTTATAATCGATCTGGTATTACATAATACCAACGTTGAAGTCAAAATAGCTTGTTGGAATCTAATACGGTTCAGCCCGATTGTTTTACTTTTTACATTAATTTGATGTATAATTACATTACACTATTGTGTTCGGAATAAAAGTAGTGTACATGAATAAAATATTTGACATTATTTAGTATAATATTATGATGTATTTATATGTAAAAAAATTTAAACAGATACAAGAAGTGAACAGAACCGTACAAAACACAATTGTCCCGAGTCCTTGTCTAGCATTGAATGTGATCTTCCATCGCTTCGCGCACTATGTTAGTAACTCAATGGTAAGGTTCATAACATTGGTCTCAGGAAAAACATGTCATGAATGATAGTTTTATATACATGGTATAAAACATTCTTTTATTTGAATAAAAAAATTGAATTAGACTGACATATTAAGAAAAGTTAAATTCTGAATCTTACCCTATGAACATCATTTATTAAGGGTCAGGAAACAAAAAGTAGCCCTTTCATCCATGTACTCATGAATGCAATTATAAAGGTGTTGTCAAATTGCATTCATATATGGGAATGAAGAAGGATGAATGGTCAAATAGAAGTAATAGTCCAAAGGGATTGATTAATGAAACAAGTTAGGTAACATCTTTTGAGAGTAAAGGTAGAGAAGGAAATGGTTGAATGATTAGCAGACTACCAAACGCATAATCCTATTAGGGAAGTAATCCAATGTAAAAAAGGCTAATGTGCATGATTCTTTTTCTTTTTCTTTTTTTTTCCCCCTTGCGGTTGCATGCAATATTCAAGCTCAAAGTCTAGAAGGGAAGAGTCAAATTGGAAGCAATTATTAGGATACGCAAAAAAGGTTGATGCCCCCTAGGTTGTCAGAGATATGTCGAGTCTACTTCTATTTTGTTTCCTTTCATCAAAGGTCCACCAAAAAAAAAAATTCAGATGGGCGTGCTGTTCATCCGTCTGATCCGATGGTGGTTCAGTCCCTTCCGATTTATCCCTGAGCCTCCTTAGACCCGCCCCTTCCCCTTAGTATTGGATAGATTAGGCTTATCGTCTCCGGCAAAAAAAAAAAAAAAAAAAATCAAAGGTGCACCAAAATTATTCCCAAAATTTCCTTTCACCAAAATTAATATGTTTTATGTTTCATGAGTAATTAATTACCTGACTGCAAGATTTTTTTTTTGTTTTTTAACATCCCTAGTTTAAGCTTATGTTCAGTTGAAGTCATCCCGCATTCTTTTCATCGTATTGCTAGCTAGTTCTGTCAGCCATGCGTGCGCGACGCGCGAAGAAATTAAGAAAGAAAGAAAGGTCGTGTGCTTGCCTTTCAATGTCTTTAGCATGAAGCCGTCATTTAAATTAATCTCTTTCGGTCTTACATAGGGCTGCAAACGAGACGAGTCGAATCGAGTTTTGAGCTAATCGAACCGAGTCTCGACTAAATTTTACCAAACTCGAACTCGAGCTCGAGCTCGACGAGCTGGTAATTTTCGAGCTCGAGCTCGACTCGAATCAAGTCGAGCCGAGCTCGAGCTCGAAAAAAATAAAAAAAAAATATTTTTATTAAAAAAAATAAATAAAATAATTTTTTTTCCGAATAAATAATAAAATATTAAGGATATATCCATAATTTCACTATGAAAATAAAAAATAAAAAAATATATATATAATATACGTAATTTTATTATTAAATAAAAATAAAAATAAAAAAAATATATATATATACTCAAGCTCGCGAGCCGGCTCGCGAGCTAACGAGCTTAATATTCTGAGCTCGAGTTCGAGCTCGAGTTTGACTCGAGCTGGCTCGAGCCGCTCGCGAGCGGCTCGATTCGTTTGCAGCCCTAATCTTACATATTGCTCTGATAGACATCTTTAGTGCTGTTGTCCCGTCTAGAGGGCAAAAATTTCAATACAAGGAGGGCCGAGATAAGTGGCAATGGTGGCAACTTCACCGGACACTGGTGCAAAGATTTATCTCAAAAATATAGTAATTTGGAGTCCCTCCTCATGATTTCGCCCTCAACAAGTGTCATTAAAGGATTCGAAGCTTTCTACTGCCATCAAAACATCTTACAGAAGATTTTGGAATGATCCCTCTGTTGAAATGATTCCATGGAGTATAATAAGCTGTAAACTGATAATCATCTTTCTTTTAGAGAAATGTTGGAACCATGAATTTTGCCGACGGTGGGCTACAGGCTGAGTCAAGATCACTTCAAGGTCACGTATTCATCAGTAGGACAACTCCGACATGTTTTCTGCTTTTCTCTTTAGTTATCCCCATGAACTCAAATAAAGTATGCCCTGATTCAGTCAGCAATTGCACCATCCAAGGAAATTTAAAGTGGTCAAGGGATCCCTTCAACAAGATACCTCATGGCCTAGCTAAAGTTTTACAGTTGTAATGGGCTTTGTAATTAGTTGTGAGTTGAGTTGAAGGGTTCAATTTAATCATATCATTATTTCAAATTTTAGTTCTTTTTACGTAATTTATATGTAGCCATAAGTTTCAATCTAACTCAAATTGACAAGTTGAGATGTTGATTTATGATGCAAAATTCTCCTTTTTTTTTTCCCACCCCCTTAATTAATTCCTTCCCTTGCCATCATAGTGCTTAATAATTAGTAGGATCACAAAAGTTACATTCACCAATAAATAAATATTGCACTACAATTACATGGATATTGCGAAATGCAACTGTCCCATTAAGAGAAAAACTTCAAGAAATATGTATCCGAGTCCTCATTCAATCAACATCAAGCCAAAAGCCAGAAATCTTTCTGTCGCTTAGTAGTAATCAAATATCCACCAAGTTTCTTGCTTTTCTTTCTTACGGCAAGGGCCATGCAAGTAGCATTTTGGATACAATACTCTACGACTCCACCTGCTGCCACCTTATTCCCTGCCCACATCATTAGAAGCCTCCACGTTGTGGAACGCTTCTTCTGCCCTAGAACAAGAAGTGCCACCCCCTGCTTTTTAGCCTCTTCTACAATCGCTGGACCTTTCTCTTTTCCTTCTGCCACTGCCACCTCTATTTGTACCTTTTCATGCATGGATTGTAACAAGAACTTTAAATAAGGAGCTAATGTCACCACTGATTACGTACCCTCTTAATCTTGACCAGGAAAGTTAAAAGGGTCTCCTTCAGAATTACTTTTGTAGTCGATCAAATTTTGTACTAGAAAATCTCAACTTTATCATGTTCAAGTCTTATCAGTGTGTAAATTGTGATATGTCTATATACAAATTCGTCCCAAGAAGTGAAAAAAGAAATTAAAAATGGGTTCCAATTATCATCATAAACCATATAACATATCGAATTAACCGCTCAGTTTTGTGATAAGAAATTGTGAAAAATAATACTAAGTTACTATTTATGTACCTCAGGTCTCTTCTGTTGGCACAAAATCTTCATGCAAGAAAGAAACTGGGAAACTCTTGGAGCCACCTCTTTGATGGCCTCTTCACCTGCCAAGAAAACGGAAAAATTCATTTACGCAAAACTACGCTCGATAAACATCAAACTAAAAGCTAAAACTAATCCTAGAATTACTCAAAGATATGGTGAATAAGTGCAACCTGGATTTGAAGGCTTAGTTACATAGAGAAGAATCACCAAATCTTGGCTTTGAACGGTATGAGTTAACGCCCATTGTATGGCATTCTTTGCTTCAGGACTTGAATCAACAACAATCATTATTTTCCTTCCAATAATCACACTTGCAGGCTTCACATTTACAACATCAACACATGACTTCTCCTTCTCTACATTCCCAGAATCATTCTTTTCTTCTTCTTCTTCTTCACTTTTGGAAAAATGTGAGTGGTTCTTTGAACGAATTCGAACAAGAGGCCTGATCCTGTTTAAGCAAAAACTTGGCACTGTAGCCCCAATTCGACCCATATTTTCTTGATTGAAAATGGGACCTTGTAACTTAGTTCCAAACTCCTATAAGGCCAAGTGCTCAGCTTTATAGCAGAAGTTAGGAGAAGAAGAATCATGTATTCATGAGAAGTTGTTAGGCCTTTCGCCTGAGACTTTGCCTAGCCAAGTTCTTGCTCATGATGATCTGGGCCATTATTTCCCTTCTCTTTTCCTACTTTTCTTTGCTTCTTTTGCCGTTTCATCATTTTTCATTCCCTTTGCTTCTTTTAATTATTTTTTTGGTTCTGTGGGCTATGCCTGAACGTGCTTGTCATGAAGATGTAGGGCCTTGGCATTCAAGACCAGATGTTATTTAATTCTCGTGCGTATTTTTGGTGTGTACATATACGCGCATATATATATATATATATATATATATATATATATATATATATATATATGTTTTCGTGGGTCAAACTCCTCAGATCAGACATTTTTCTTGTAATTGATCTGGTGGAAACTTAATTACCATGCTTTAATTTTATTACATTTATTGATTATCTTTAAAAAAAAAAGTAGGATATCTAATATCTTTTACTCTGTTTCTTTAGCATAGAATCTTGGTGTTGTATAGAATAATATTTTTCTCGTTTAGTATAAACAAGAGTAGGCTATCTTTTACTCTATTTCCATGGGATAGAGTCTTGTGTGTCGTATAAAATACCATTTTTCTTGTTCAGTATCTGATTAGTGATGCTCTAAACCGTGTTTTACTCTTTAAGCCATCTTTACCAATAACATTCACTTTAGACTTTGATTGTTTTGAGGGAATATGAGTGAAGGGAAAGGAGAGGACTAAAGTGGGGAGGAGAGAAAAGGAGAATAGAGAAAAGCAAATTCTATCAAACATGTTTAGATTAATTAGGAAAGGAAGGGAAACATTGAAAATATTATTTAGATTCGGGAAGGAAAGGAAAGAAAACTATTTGGTGTTACCTACGTTTTTATTCATAATTTTAAAAAGTTTAATATGTAAAAAGATATGTTTTTTTAGAAAATTTTAAAATTTTCACTAATTTTGATTTCCTTTCCTTTTGTTTCCACTCACTTTTGGACAAAAAACAATATGATAAAAAATAACTAAACCTTATCCCTATCTTTTCCTCCCTACCCTTTCCATTCCTTCCTCACAAACCATTATAAATATGAAAAACCATATCCCTTCATTTCCTTTCCTTCCCTTCTTATTCTATCTTTTCCTTTTCCTCCTCAAAGATCAATCTAAATGTAAAAACATCTATCCTTTCATTCCCTTTTCTTTCTCTCTTGTTCCCTCAAAACAATCAGAACCTTAGGGAAGCGAGAAATACGATTGTTGGCACAGTTGTTGTAAATGCAAGATCTTATCCACAAAAAAGAATTTTATTGGTGTAGAAAACTACTTATTCAAGAATATTAATACAGATATATGGATACTAAATTTTGTTCAAAAAAATACACCACTTGAACATTTCCGCCCTTGTTAATTTGATGGGCCGAATATCAGCTCGAAAGAGTCTTCGCCAATTCTCAGCCCAACCCAAGTTCCAAATTGGATCCCTCTAAAAAGTTGTTTTTGCCTAAGGGTTGCTAGCCAACTCACAAAATTTACGAAAAACATTTCCGTTTCCTCTTAAGGATACAACTCTTAATTATTTACGAGAATTGGTATTCGCACTCTTTCTCTCTCGTGTATTTTAATCCATTCACTAAGTAAATATACCTTCAACGAGTGCAAGAGACCAATTTAAGAGTGCAAATATCACTTCGCTTATTTACTACTTATGCTTGCATATTTATTTGCATTTTGAATTGTACTCTAATTTTTAGTTTTTTTTTTCCCATTTTGATACGTTCTTTCTCATAGTAAAACTAGAGAGAATTAAAAGGTGAAAAAGAAGAAGAAGAAGAAGAAAAAAAAAAAGGAACCAATTATTGATTAGCGGTGCCTAGTGGCTCGCGGAGGAACCTACAATTGCAAATTTGGCTTTTTGTCAATTCACTTGTCTAGATCCTTTGTCTTCTTCACAAATGGCAAAGCTATTAAAGCCAAAATTGTTATTGTTTTCAATCCCAAAAGGCAATAATAAATAACTATCCATCTTCTTGTTGCATAGATTGACCAACTCAAAGTCATTAGCAAAAACCATCCAATAGAAAAACACTTTTTAGTGGTTAGCTATGGTAGGCGGTAACCATAACAATACTTACTAATATGAAGAATACAACTCGGTCGTAGATCAAACCATAGGCCACACAATATTTAATTAGGAAGGCAATTTCATTGAATTGATGATGAAGAAGGGTTTAATTCATCTACTAATCTTCCTTGTAAGATTCCGTGTTATATTTGAAGATGTATGTCCATTGGTCGGTCGGTCAACTATTAAAATCAAAGTCCTTATTTGGTAGAATATTACTAGGACGATAAACTACACAACTCTCAAATGCGTACGGACACTGCCATTAAAAAATAATAATAATAAAGTATCATGGAAGAAATGTATTCCATAACTCTACATCTTAAAGAGGATAAAATTTACTCATTTTACATAATTCATGAAACTCTGTTTCGATTGTAATTTATTTGTCAATTTTTATTTGTTTGCATCATTAATATAATTTTCAATCACGTTTTTATCGCAAATACATCATATTCAAAAAAAAGTATTATAGTTTTGTTATCAAAAAAATTTTCAAATAACCTACTATCAAAACACACTCAGTTTAAGAGGAACTTATACATAAAATTTACTCGTTTTGTTTTCATTATTATTGATACTAGTACCAGAAATTATAAATTCAAGATACTCCACTATAGCTGATTTTGCATATATCAACACAACATCATTCATGGCGATTCCCCCTCTTAAAATAATCTAATGTTAAGAGCACACCCAATGCACGTGTAATGTAGAAATGATTAAAATGTGCGTGCAATGTAGCAATAATTTTAAAAATTAAGTTTATATAAATTTATTTTCTACATAAATAAAATTTGTATAAAAATAACATTAAAAACTTTGATTTATATGGTTATATAATTTATTAATTTAGCTGCTACAATACTTAAGATGGTAAGGTTGAGGTCTCAAGATTTCTAATTTAGTGAGTTCATATCTCCCTTGGCCTCATCCCACTTCTTAAATCGCATCATTGCTCCACTAGAAAATGTGATTAAGAAATATTTAAACAAGGGGATTATGGGTAATTATGTTGGTAAAATATGATTAAAATACAAATTAATATTTGTGAAGGTAAAATTATAAATTATTTTTAAAAGACAAAAGGTGTTTACACCAAGTGCAACTACTTTGACTTCATATATTGAATTAATATTGTTTTAAACTGTTAGTGAATACACTAACAGGTTTAGATAATATGTATGTCACACATATAAGATTTGATGTTTAAATTTGAAAGGATTTATCTTCCCCGAAAAAAAAAATTTAAAAGGTTTTATCCATATACATTGTATAGATATTTAAGAAAAGCAGGATTAGCATTTCCTTGCCGCATTAGGCTGGTCCTAAACGATAGACCTTCTTCCTTAAAGAAAAATAAAAATAAAAATAAAAAAATTTCTTGCCCAAAGCTAAAAAAAGAAGATATATAATTCTATTGTCAGCTAATTCGTGGCCCAAAAATCCTAAACCCAAACGGCACACAAAAGTAAATAATATAGAAAATTGCCAAGCTCCGGAGGAGCAGTAGTCTCCTTTACTTCTTCTCAACTCAAGCCCCCACTTTGATCATTGTCGAACCGAAAACCCTGCTATGCACCTGGTACAGTAATCTCTCTGTCTCTCTCATTCGACAGTCTCATGCATAACTAACGATATATGCATATGTTTGCAGATTTTGATGGGCTATTCAGAAGTCTTATTGCTTTTTGCTGGAACATATTATCAAGAGGGTCATTGTTTTCTGTTTGGAATGTTTTCTTTTGGGTTATGCGTTTTCTTTCTTTTTGCTGATTGGATAAGTAAAGATTGAGTCTTGCAAGTAGCAGCTTTAAAGAAATAAAATGAGTGTTGCAATGTGATTTTTCACAGAATTTACTAGTCTTTTTGATGCTGTATTACCATTTTTTTTGGTTTTAAAAACATATAGGTTTTATTAACAAAAAAAAAAAAAGTTCTGTTTTTTGTTGTTCAATTCGTGCTTTAATGTCTATTATTCTGTTTTATGAATGAAATTTGTCCTCTTCTTTACAGGGTATTTTTTTAGGACTTTATTAGTCCTAAGAAAGTTGCAATTTTGCTAATTCTTGCTGTTTAGGAGTAGATTAGACGACTTGGCCCTACCTTGATGTTTGTAACTATATTACCTTCAATGAAACAGTAGAATAAAGAGGCTTGATCGTTTGTACTTTTAGTAGTTTCTCGTTTTTTTTTTCTCAGAATATCTATTTTAATTCTTTGCATTGGTTAGCTTCTGACAATGAGATTGAATTGCTCTGCAAAAATTGGTCTGATGTAGAATTGAAGCTGCATCATGGGTGCCGTTTGTTGTTGTTTCCCTGTTCCTAACATTGCTGGCCATGAAGATGAGAACGGCTCGAACCATGGAAACTGCCCTTGCCTCAATTGCTGTATACAAAGCATTAGGGATAAGGTGCAACAAAAGGCTCCTCTTTCTTTGATTTGAAATCAACAGGATAGTGTCACCTATTAACGTTTCAGAAATATTTGGAAATAAATTGTGATGCCTATATTCTTTATCCCTTTTTTATTTAGATTGTTCATGGTCTCTGGCTTTTACTTCTGTCCTTATTCCTCCAGCACCTCCTTGTTCTCTGTTTGTTTGTTAATGTGCTCCATATGAAGTTGGGACATATACTTCCTTCTCGATTATGATTTCTATGATGGTTTTCCACTCAAGGGACATTTTGTAGGTTTAATTGTTCTGCAGAGTGTAACTAAAAGCAGGCATTACCTGCTTATGCTGCACCAACTAAAATATATTGGATTTTTGGGAAACAGTTTCGTTAGCTGTAGACATCTTTTAGCACTCTGTGATTCTTTAATTTGGTTGATTTTAGATGTCCAACATTCTTTAGCTCTCAAATGCTGTTTGAGTTTGATAATGTGACTTGGCAATAATGCAGTGCTATGAACACTATCCACCACTCCTTTGTTATGTATAGTAACTGCTAAAGAAATCTTGCTGCACTTAAAACACCAAATTTCTTGATTACCAACTATTCACATTAAGCAATTGAATATACAACTCATGGAGTACTTGACCATGTTAACTTTTACATTCACAAAACAAGACATCTAGTGAGGATTATTTTGTCTCTTTAGCTGGCAGGGTATAACTTTTGAAACATCTGACATCATCGCACTGCTTAGTGCAGGAATTGGAGAAGAAGAAAAGGGTGGTGGAGACAGAGAGTGGGAAGGGGAGTAAGCGCAGAACATCTTGTTTATTGTCTCTTGTTTCATTGAGATAGGATCATATAGAGGAAACATGAAAAAGTCAGTCCTCATTTCTGTTCCCTTTTTTCTTATTTAAATTTGGCATTACCCTCTAGGTTGAGTGGTTGAGGGGAGACATAAAATGACCTCAAAGAATAAAGACTGTTTTGTTTTACTTCATCCAATTAGCCTCAACTACTTCTGACACTCTCCTCTGTGTTTGACTTTTCTTTGCAACCAAAGATATCATAATATTGTGTTTTGATGTATGCCATTCTTATACAAGGTCTACTACTTTATTTGCTGCTTTTGTGTTTTTTTGGTTATTTCCAGATGTGAAATGATTCATTCAAGTTGTTGAAAAGTTGACCCTCAAGTGTAATGTTGACAGTATGGAGCTCTATTTGCAAGAGGGAGTGGGCTTCCAGCCCTGATATCTAATCAAGGTGCAACCTCTCCAGACCCTGTGGTACCAACTCACAGTTCAGCTATCACCAGAGCATCTGATAGAACTTTGCAAATGAATCCCAATTCTGGATATTCTCCAGTGCCACAAGATGTTATCTGCAGACATGACAAAGGCTCAAACCATTCACGTGTAGAGCCAGAACCAGCAGGTGATCCTGAAGTTCAACAAACGCCAAGACCTTCAAAAGTAGGAGACAGATTAGTTTACAACCAAAGTGAGTCCTCGGTGAAGGACTTCTCGTCAAGCATGCAAAAAGGAGTTGGTTATGATGTTACATTCTCAGAAGATGAAGATGCATGTCCTACATGTCTTGAAGGTAAGCTTCAGCCATCCCATCCCCATCCCCCACTTTTATTCTCTTTTCCAGTCAATAAAGTGAAAGAGATGACATTCTATTCAAAGAAGCTGTCTAGATTCAATTGCTGGTAAATTTTGATGTTTTAGCTTTTATTGGGTTCTAATAACCTAGTGCTTAATGGTTCTTTGAATAACATATTCACAAAATATTTTCTGTGCAGAGTATACACTGGAAAATCCCAAGATAATAACTAAATGTTTTCACCATTATCACCTGAGTTGCATATACGAGTGGCTGGAGAGAAGTGATACTTGTCCAGTTTGTGGAATGGTAATTTCTTTCATATGATCTTTTTTCTCTTTGCATTTTTCTAAGGTCTATTATGAAATCCTTTTTTGCTATTCATTTACATGGGTTAATCATCTTGTCAAGTCATACACTTGTTATGAATAGATATGTCTAGAAATTTTCGTGTTAGCTTGTTTAATGGCTAATCTTAAGCATTCATCCTTCAAGATTCATAGGTTAGATTTTCTTCATTTTGATTTTGATTCTTCTGGAGTTCTTTTTCAAAACCATTTCTGTTTGACTAATTGTTGAATACTTTAGATGATTGAATGTGACATCATGTACACCTGAAAAAATGTTAGAACTCTGGGGGACATATAGTAGTGGGTTTGTGATCTTCTGCATGAAACTACTGCTAAGTCTTAGCTAACTAACTTTAAGGCAGGTGGCAAATGCACACAGTTTTGATGCAGGTTCAGGTAACATACTCTATATACTGACATATTATTTGAAAGTAGAAAAAAGAAAAAGCTTAGGAAATTAATCTCCACAGATGCTCTCTATGATGTGGGATAGTGTGTTGAGGAATACGATTGGATGTGAAGAGCTTGGCCCTTTTTGTTCCAAAGTCATTTTCTTTGCCTTTTAATCAACTTTGTCTGTGGGCAAAAGGTCTACTCCATGGTTGTGGTGCAAGTGGAGTTGGATCTTGACTTTCCTCCTTTCTTTACTGGATTTAGGATGTGCTGATTGTTTTTGTTGTTAGAAAATGTGGTTTGCTCCCTGCAAAGATGTCCTGTTGGCCCAATCTCTTTTCTGAAGACCTTTTACAGATGTTATTCTTGCTTTGGACATTGCCAGCATTCATTCATTGTGCTATAGCTTACTCATCTTAACTGCTTTAGCTAGTAAGCTTTATGAGATTGCCATGCTCATAATCAAGCCTGATTTTCTTTGTTTCTTACCTAGTTGATGGAATTCAATGAGACATGACTTTGGAGTGCTGATGCCACGGCAAGGAGGGCTGAAGAAAGACAAGAATATATATATATATATATATATAATCATGGGAGAAAAACGAAAATTGATTGTGTACATAGCTTATAGTGAGTAGATCACTGAAAGTTTTGATTTTTTTAAAGTTGATAAGGTTGTACAGGCTGTGCCACTTGTCACAATAATTTATTGGCCTCGTTTTTAGGTTCCTTTTCTATTTGATAAACATAGTAAAGCCAATAATAGGATCATGATGCAGCGGTGAGGGGAATTTTTTTTTTTTTTAGGCCTCATTAGGAGATGAGATTAGTTTTTTTTTTTTTTTTTTTTCCTTTTTTTGGGTTTTTTGTTGTTTTTTTTGGGGGGGGGGGGGAGTGTTTGGGTTTTGATATGTTGCTTCAAGGAGTAAAACAATCTGGTGCGGAATACTTGCCAAAACTTTTAAACTAAATAGTACTTGAGTCTCTTTCAGGCTCTGAGATTTTTGACTTCTAATGGTAACACCATCAAGTGATTAGAATTCCAGTATGTTCATTCTGTCTCCGATAATTACATGGTTTTTGGCAATTTACCTCGTGTACAAATATACCGTACCTAACTGGATCTTGAAGTAACATTTCCTTGATTGTTATTTTATGATTCCAATACTGAAGCTGCTAGAATTGATGTTTTCTTAGTAAACACCTGGGTCATCCTATGAAGCGTCTGGACAAGGTAAATTATCATGGCCGAAGCAATTCCATGCTTAAATGCAACCTAGGTGATGAATGCCAGGACTTTGGCTCGATCACAAGATAGTTTTGGAGTTTGAAATTCATCCCTCTCCGGATTGCAATTACAAAAAGCAAAATGTGCAAGTGACAAAGTGAGTTATATATCCCAATGAATTTTAGCTATTACTAGTTTCAAATATTAATGAATGAACAAGATAAATTAGCTCGTTAACTCAAATTCTTTTCATCCCCTTCTGTGTAGTTGTTATTGATAGTAGACGCTTAAGATCCTAAAGTGCTCATATGTATGTTACCACAATAGTAGATATAACATACACCAGCAAGATTGAGCCCCCTCTACAAAATATTCACAAACCTGATCATCCATGGTCAAATAATGAGTGATATTAATGCCACAACTTGAATTTTATTTCTACAGTTATTACTGAATGAAATGTCAAAATTGCTCATCCAAGCCCAAATGCAATTTGATTTTCGAAAGGGGTTGTTTTAACATTTTCAACAAGAATTGTTGTGGAAATAAAATTCAGCTGTGGCTGTATCACATATCTCCAAATAATTGTTGAACTCTAACGAGATAATTTTTGAGCGGACGAACTAAACTGGCAGCACGAGCTCACCTGTCAAAACAAACAAGAATGGTCGGGATCTTATTCTCCGGTCTCACTCCGATGCTAAAGTCAGTTATGGAATGAGAGTCGAGATGCACATCTAGTAAGTGGTTAATCCCATGTACTTGATTTACAGATGGCAAGGGATATTTATAAGGAAGGTCCTGACAGATAGGATGTAACGCCTACGCTTAACTGGTTGTCAGATGGCAGTTTATGATGGCGGGTTCAGTCGTAACCATGACCGCTAGGGCGGCGGGTAGTCACATCAACCTAACGATAGCTGGCTACCTGCACCGCCAGCATGCCAGGTGTTGGACCCATAGCGGGATCCGATTTGGATCACGGAACAGACGAGCTTAGGTAACCATCCCGGCAACGAGGAGTCGAGATGGTACCCACAAACTCAATGTCCAATATGAACATCCAATTTAATCTAATGCTTAGTGGCCCTAATTAGTTAAGAATTCTAGCTTGCAACACGAAAGCATCCCATAAAAAAGAAGGAAAGAAAGAAAGAAAGAAACAATTGGAGGCTACAAACTTATACAGAACATTAATATTTATTTCCACAGCTCCAATTGTGTCGTTTTTCCATCATTCTAAAAATGCTCAAGAACTACAGCTTTAGAGAGAGCTGAATAGAGTTTCCAGATCGGGTTCACAAAATACACTTAGCGCAAATAACACCAACAGATAGTCAAACATATTAGAAATTTCCAAGTTGGGTGCAAATTTTGATTTCTCCGCCTTTATCGGTATCAATGTATGCAGTTACAAGTACTAGCAAGTATAGCACCCAATTTTGCGCTTTGATCAGGCAGTAAAGCATCCAAGATGGCAGGGAAACAGCGAGTCTAGAGTAAGCTCAAGCTCATTCCTTCTCGCTTCTTGTGTTTCTTCTTCATAGTTGCCACTGTTTAAAGTATGACAAAAGCATTAATGCAATTGAAAATCCGCCAAAAAGCACCATATGTGCAAGACTGCAAGTTGCAACAGCAACAAATATGCAGAATGGACAAGTTAAACTTAAGCTAATTACGAAAGTGGCTTCTAATTCTAATGCGTCCAAAACCTCGCAGTTTGAGTTTTGTTGTCGGATACGAGTGCAAATCGTCTGGGCACTGAATTCTGCATTCAAACTTTATACTTTGTGGATACCTAATATAGTTATAATAACATATGTGGTTGAACTTGCCCCTATAGATTTCCTTAGTTCTCCTCTCTTATCCACAATATAAGATCTGAAGGGCTAGGATCAAATGAAATTTGGATTACCTGACATTGATGCAAGGAGGGAGTGGCTCTGGAATCAGGTACGGAGTTGAACTCGGGCCTTGATTTTGCTGCTCCCACTGTGCCTGCTGTGCCATTAACTTCTCTTTCTCCTTTATCTATTAGAGAGAGGCCAAAGGAAGTTAAAGAAGCAAAACAACCTTGATTCGTAAATAAGCTAGCCAACATGGTGGACTGTGTGGCAAATGTAGTTCTGGTAAATAATGCAGGTGCAGCAAATTTACCAAGCAGACAATGGAACGGCATGAAAGAAGAGGTTAAAATAATCATTTTGTTCCCATTCTTGGGGTTATAATTTGTTCAAGAACAAGAGCTATCCTATTTCAAAGACAGGGTTGCTCTCCCACGAGAAGAAATTATTCGAGTTAGGCTGAATGACTTGAGCACTAATTAATGATGATAATGTATTGACTAACCTTCTTTGCGAGCATGCTGTTTTGCTGTTGAATTGCTTTTTCCTGTCAAGGCAAACAAGGGGTAGCTGAATGAACATAGACTACAAAAAGAAAAAACTGATCAAATTGTTTCTGAAAGGAACAATTTTCAAGATCACTTGAAAAAGTTTTAGAGGTTTAGACACCCATGTTTATCTAGAAAGTTGCGGGGGTGGTTTACAACTTGATTAACCTTTGGCTCAGGGTTTAGCTTCTGATATATATATGTTCCTGAACAAATGATGCTGCAAAGTTTGCAGATACCGTTGAGCATTTCCTTTTTTCCAGTCAAATGTCACACAACAGCTAAAATTTAAGAAAAATGAAACCAGAAACCCAGGCAACAGATGCTACAGTGCTATAATAACAACTACCATATGAATATAGCTTCAGAAAACTCAGTTATCAGATGATGTAGGACTAGTTTTGGACTTTTGGGTACCTATTGTGCACCCGGAACTGTACTCGAGTAATGTAATCCCAAAGTCATCAAAGAAGATGGTAGTCCATTTTTGTTGCTTGGGCGTTTGTGTGATTAATAAATGGTAGTCCACTTTTGTTGTTAAGGTGTTTGTGTGATTAATTGCAGGTATAACTTGGCAAGCTCAAGAGCAATACATGATTATCACGATGAACAATTACACCTAAAGAGGGTTGAATGCAAGTTTACATCCTAAAGAAGCTGATCACCTTTCTCTGCAGCTCAGAGATTGACTCGTACATGAGTTGGTTCTGTCAGGAAACGGACATTTAAGGGTCAGGTAAACGAAGTAAATTACTCAAAAAAGTTGAGTACTTAGCCCACCATGGACGGAAATTTACAAAACACCTAGAACACAAGAGCTTACCTTTCTAGTTCGGATTTGTTTCAGAGCCGTGTCAAGCTGGTGCTCCAAATTCTGGAGGTCTTTCGAGCTCATTGCATCAAGGTCCTCACCCATGTAATGCCTGATGGAGCAAGAAAGAAAACTTCAAATACTCAAAAGAAAGAAAGAAGAATCAACCTTTATACTTAACCAGTAGCATATATATATATATGGAAGGCCACGTCCAGGCCATGTCTTTCACCTATGATTTCTTTGCAACAGCTCCATCTTGGCCTTGAGTTTGGTGTATTCCAGAGTCCAATCTCCCTGCACAATTCAAGCATGCAACTCACGTAATTTTTTTTGGGTTTTGGGAAATTCTCATGTCAAATGATCAATCAGAGATGGCTATATATATACATATACATCTCTGTGACTAGGCAACATGCATGAAATACCACAAAAAGAAAAAGCATGATCATGCATGCCGTTCTAGGATATATACATATATATATATATATATATATGTGTGTGTACCTCGGATTCTAGATCATTTGCAACTAATCGCCTTTCTGCATATGAATATCTTTCATACCTTTCCAGGATATTCTCCATGCTGTTGCATTAATTAGCAAACTCAAAAAGTGAATTTCAACGCAATACTACTGTATAATCTTTCAGAGTAATTAATTTACACCGAAATCGTAGGCATAAAATGTCACAATCTATAACTTCATATTGAGATGCAATAGCTTTGTAATGCTTCATTGATCTTCACCACCAGACTTGCTATAGCTATTTGATAAACTATATATTCCTAAGTATTATAATACATGAAATTAATGGCGTTCACCCAATAACACTTTCGCATATTTGTATCTTCTTGATCCTCATCATAGAGACAATCATGAAAGTGCCAAACCAGTTTAGGTCATTCCTGTGTTTAATCAAGATTGCTCTGTCCTTTATTCAAAATCATTGTCTTAACCCTTCTTAGATTAGATTTTTTTTTTTTTTTTAAATTTTGGGTCAAAAGCTGCAGGATTTCATTAGATATAAACAATAATTACGATTATCGACTGTGCTATTAGAGCCCCTACTGTGCCAAGCACATCGATAAACTATCCATCCACTTTATACATCATGTTTCAGCTTAGCAGCACAGTGGTAACTAAGTAACCTGCTACTGTGCCAGGCACTTCTTAGTACAATGGTTCAATTCGTTGTGTGTATTATTATTATCTTACATCATTATCATTCGTACTTCTCCCTTCCGCCTCTTCTACTATTATTTACCTTTTGATTAAAAAAAGATGTTGACAATTCATATTCAAAGTCCTCTATTACCTGGAAATATTTTATTCTACTTAATTAGCCATCATATATATGCCCTTGCCAAAAAAATTGAAAGAAAACATTATACATAAGGTCAAAATTAAACATGACGTTATTTTATTCTAGTGCTTTATTGCTGAGCTGCTGCAAAGTAAATTGTAATGCAAACGACTTAACAAGTAAACAAATTGAAATAGGATAAGCAATACTCATCCACGTAGCTAGGCAGCATTTTTTTATCCACATATTTCAAGTAAATTTCAGATTCATGATTTGAGCAAAAATTTACATGAAGGAAGGAAACGATTTGAAGTGGCAAGAAAGGATACATGAAGTCAAAATGTACGTTCATGCAATTAATACTTTAGAATTAGCTAAAAGATGAGTTTGAAAATTAGAAAATCTAGGTCTGGGGTGACCTCATGCTCGCTAGACTATGCAGTAAAAGCATACTTGATCAGGATTGGCATAACGCGAGTCTATTTCAAAAAAGCAAATTTGAGGGTGGGAATTGAAGAGAAGATGAGAGAAGCAGTAATAGTTCAACATAATCTTACCTGAAATAACATAAGCAAAGATGTTTAGAATGTGATATCTTCTTTCCCTTTTATATCATTGCAGTAACACAAATATTTTTACAGGTTAGATATGCTAGCTAGGGTAAAAAGCCTAAAAAATTGAAGAGATGATCATTGTCGATCTATATTAAATGCCATAGATCGCGCGGGTTCCATCCAATACAACAAGACGGAAATAAATATTGACAACAATGAAGATGTGCATGGTCTAGCTTAGAACTTAATTTGGCGAAAAGGGAACTTAGATAACTGCAAAACACATATTGGATCCTGACCATAAATTCTTGATTTTGTTACCTTTTTCTCATCTTCTTTCCTGCTGATACATAGATGTCTAACGATATATAATTTCTTTCTCAAGTTGGGAAGTTGGCGAATTAATTTTCTTGTCGATCTTCTAGTTTTTCTAACTAGTTAAAAGAATGAAATACAAAAAAAAAAAAAAGAATCGGAATAACAATAGCATAGCATAAATTGAGAAACCTCGTTTGATCTTGCAGTGCTAGCTGGTGTAGTTAATGGATCTGATTTTAATTCGTGACATCTTGAATCAAGAATCTGAAATCCACTGCTAATATTTTTTTTTTTTGCAAGTACAAATTGAAGCTTTCAACTTGACATGGATAGCATTAAATCCTCCAAGTATATATAGACCACCAGGCTTTAACAAGATTAAATCTAGCTATCACTTGCAAACATGAAGTCCAGCTTAGACTTGGAGGTTGTATTCTGACTGAACTAATTATATCCAACGAAGACCCTGAAGATATTTGCATCAAGAAGGGTGCATGGTAAAGCCAGATGCTATGTAACATAGAGAAGATTATGCTGAAGGAAGACGGGATGCTACGCAAACGGTTCAAAACTTAGCAACCGTCATGGTTTTGACCTCATCAGAAAACAGAAGGATGCCAACACGATTTAAGAAGAGGGGGCAAAAGGAACAACAACAAGCCTTATTTAATGTTTTCTGAAAGAAGTTTGAAAAAAAAAACCCTTTTGAACCTCTTTCTAAATGGGGGTGAAAATGAAGAATTCATTATTGCAACAAATTTTAGTCCATGAGATAACTTAGCAGATCAAAGGTACGTAGATACCTAGAATCAGAAGAGTATTCAAAGAGCTTCCCTTTGTGAGAGAAGACGATCAAAGCCACTTCAGCATCACAAAGTACTGATATTTCATGAGCTTTCTTCAACAATCCAGCTCTTCTCTTTGAAAATGTCACTTGCCTGTTAATCTTGTTCTCTATTCTCTTCAACTGTACCTTTCCTCTCCCCATGATTTCTCCTCTCTCTCTTTTCTTCTCCCCAGAAGAAAACAAACGACCCTCTTCACACAGGATCTAAAAAAGGAAACCCTCTAACTCCAATTTATCATCCCGTGCCCCTAGATTCTAAAATCACGACACAACAAAAAAGGGGAATATAAATATATATATATATATATATATATCCTTGTATTGCTTCTTTATAATCTGCAGGTGTAAAGAGGGGGATATTTTAGGAAATCACTGGTGGGTTCTGTGGTGCTCCAACTTTCTTGTTGTCTCTATTTGGTGAAATATATTTTATGATAACATCTTGTCTGAAAAAGCATGTACAGATTTGTGATGAGATGTGAAACCATTACAGCTAAAGGGATCCTGGGGAAGTTAAAACCAGGTGGTTTTTAAGAATGTGCTGTCGAGCTAGGATTTGTTTAAGCTACTGTATATTCGTTGGAGTCTGGTGGATATGAAGTTCACAGGTTTTTAACCAAAATTTGGTACAATTAGAAGTGTACGGATCCGGAATATGGGTAGATCAGTGTCATTTCTTTGAAACTGTTGACGGCGGCCACGGCCATGTGATGAAGGGACTGTTCTGAATTTGGCCCAGCAGATTTTTAGTATAGTTGGATTTATCCATCCTATATTAATAGTGTATATATTAGCGGGTTGTACATATTATATGTGCAAAATTGAAGTTCAAATTCAAATTATAATGTGACATACATCCTGACTCGCTAGTAAATACTATAAAGAAAGAAATTCAAATTCCGTTCAAGTGATTGTGCTCATAGCTGAAATCATTAAAAAATAATAAAGGAAAGACAAAAGTAAAAACATGTTATAAGCTAGGTTTTTATTTTTTACCAAAATATTTAATCTAAAAAACTTTTTGTCTATCTTAAAACACTCTCTAATTTTTTTGATTTTTTTTATATGCCCATTTTGTGGAATTCACCTCGAAGAATATACGTAGAATCATCGTCTCATCACTTTCTCTACCTCAGCTGAGTGATGCTTCGCTCAAGATAACGTATTCTCCACATTAATTTAGTCATGACTTTGGGAAAAGCACTTCCAAATATTCTCCAACGGGACAAGCAAACATTTTCTACCACAGCGGTAAACTTATTGGGTATTATTCCTTTCCAACGGCCTCGAAAGTTGGCAATCTAATTCTATCCCATCTCATTCATCCTGCCCGCCTCTCTACTCGGTCTACCCTGAAAAGGTCGGACAGAACATTGAGCGCCCGCGCAATTGGAGCCATTGGACCAATATGCAATAGGGATAATTAATTACTGAAATCTTCCTTGAGATTTTTTATGGCATCTTTGTTTGGATTTTAGTTTTTCAAGAAAAAAGTTTTATATTTTTTAAATATATTTCTCAATTACTTTTTTACTTTATATACACAGGCACATAAATACATATATATTTATATATATATATCAAATTGTTACGATAAATTTTTCTATAAAAACTCTAAAAAAATAGCAATCCAAATGAATATTTTCAAAACTTAAAAAAAAATCACTGATTTTTTTCTACTTATAACCTTTTGTAATATATTGTTAACCATTTCCAGTGTATAAAATTGAAAAAATCATTTTTGGAAAAGGAGACAATTATTCCAAAGTAGCTCTTCAAATTATTTATACTAGTTTTATGTATCCTATATAATCTTAAATATTTCTTCTTATCTAGACCAATAACACGAAAATTGTAGAGGGTCTCCCAACCCCGTTAACAATTTGTAAATTTTTATTGAAGAACCCACTTCAACACGTTTTCAAATTAAGTGTCTGTTATTTCAATTAAGAGATTATAAGAAATGGCAAAGTGGTTTAATTTGTTACAATCCACCCACAGAATCTCTATGTTTTGAAACCTCAATCTTAGTCACTAAAACACTAAAAAACGCGAAATAATGATATGTCCAATATACTGGAAAAGATCATTCAAACACCTATTCGTCCCAACTGACCGAATTGGTAAAACTATTTAAGACGAAAGATGAAATTTACTGAATCGAGGATAGAGTATTATTTGAAATAATTACTGTAGTATTTTTTGTGATGTGATGTATGCGAGATAAAAAGGTGATTGAAAATATAAAAATGTGAGTTAAAAAATGTGTTTATAATGCAAGCGAAATATTATCTGGAATAATTTTACTATCCAAACAATATAATATCAGTTCTCTTCTTTTTCTTTTGTTTCCTCATTTTAATTTTGCCTCTTCAATTATTCGCCTTCTGTACCATTTTGTGCAGTGCAGTGCAGTACTATATCTTGTCGTTATAGTTGACATTCACTGTTTATGAACAGTGAAAATTTGGTCCTTTGATGTTAACACCTTAATCAGTAAATTTTGTGCTGCTTCGCTTTGAGAACCTTTGACGTTATTTACTTCGTCATGTTTTACCTTATCGTGCTTGAAGTTTAGAATTGGTCATGTCGAACCTCGAGTGAATTGCAAATTTGCAATTGATGACTTCGGATGAAATAGTTTTGGATAAAATATTGGAGAAAATTGGATTCTATTCTATTATAAATACTACTTGTTAAATAAGAACTTGATATGAATAAGGCAGGCATAGAACAAATTATCTCTTTTATTTTTTTGCTGCAGAAAATTTATTCTGAAGCCCTCCTCTCACTGCATTTCACCACAAAAGATTAATTTGGAAAACCCCTCAAAAAAAAAAAAAAGAAAAGAAAAAGAGTGAGTGAGAGAGAGAGAAGCAAGTTCCACAGCTCTGCAAAGCTGGGCCTCTCTTTCTGCTAAATGTTTGCCGGATCTAAAATTGGAAAGATTCGAACCAAGATGGTACCAGATGCCTGTTTGCTTTTCTTTCTTCCTCTTTTTTTTTTTTTTTTTTTGGGTTTAATTATTAGAGAGCAAGTACCAGATGCCTATTTGCTTTTCTTTCTTCCTCCCCTTTTTTTTTTTGTTTAATTATTAGAGAGCAATGTAATTTTTGTCCTCTCATCTTTTCTTTTCTTTTCTTTTTCTTTTTCTTTTTTTACGTGTAAGTGGAATGGCTCGAATCCAAGACCTCTGCTGGTTTGACGTAAGTTTTGTTTTCATATTTTAGTCTTTCTTTTGTCCCAAATATCTTACTTTAGTTCTAACTGCATCCTCTGTTTATGGCATGTTTCCTATTAACAAAAGCATCAACTTACTCCTTTTTATTACTTTAAAAAGGTAATGACAACCACTATTTTGTACCTATTTTATAGTATGTGTTCTATGCAATTTCATCCCACAATAATTGTCTTACAAAAAGTAGAAAAGTCTATTTCGGATTGCAGTGATTTTGCTAAAAAAATAAATAAATTTAAAAAGAGTACTTCCATCAGACGAACACTTTCTTTTTCCATTTTTTTTTATTACCAAAAGAAAGAGAGAGAGATAGATAAAACATTTGAAAAAAAAAAAAAAGGAATTATAGCTACTATATGTTCCCCTAGTCCCTACAAAAGGGCTGGCCTGATTGCACATTTTGTTTTGCGTCATACAATCTTTGTCCAAGCAAATTTCAGTTCAATAAAGATAGCCATTCCCCACAAGATTATAGATCCCATCTTATTACATTCCAAGTCTTCGGAAAAAAAAAAAAGAAAAAGAAAAAGAAAAAGAAAGAAAGACATTCCATGTCTTTATCTATCCTTGAAAACTGTAGAGTTGGCAATATGTTAATGCTGCTATGGTACGTACATTACTCCAACAGGATCCACTTATGCCTCCTGTTGGCCCAAGAACATAATTTATTTTTATCTTCCCATTTCAATGGAAAATACAGCAAAATTAGGAACCTGTGTACCACACGTATTAATTTGTTGGCCTTCCAATTCAAATTGTGTTTAATTGCTACATATATATATATATATATATTCTCAAAGCATCCATCCTGGTAGGATTCCACTGGGATTTTGTGTTGGCTCTGCCTCAGCATCGGCTACCACCATGTTGTAGCTGCAATGGAGAAGTACATGAATATATGCAAAAGCTATAATCTACTGATCAACTTTCCCCTTCGCAGACCAAAAATTATCCTAACAAAAGTAGAATTTTTTTTCCCCCCACATAACAAGTTACATGCATGCAAAGCAAGGATAAATCTCCAAAGTTTTTTTTATGGAACAACATATAGCAACATACTTCATGATGGAGCTGTTGCATTCAAGGGGCTGGAAGAATCCCTCAGGATGAATTGTCTGAGATCTATGTCGTAAATTATGCTCCTCTGAGACGTCCCATGATAACTGAAATGCTGCAGTGGTTTCTTCTAACTGCTATGATGATTTTCATGCACATTCTTAGATGATTGTATCAGCAACAACTAATGCGAAATATCATGAGCATCAAAACTTTAAAAATATAGCCCAAATTTAATAGAAACTTTAGGCTACCTTGTTCCTCAAGGCCTTGTTTACTTCCATCAGTGATTTTTCCTGGGCAATCAAATAGTTGGCTTGGTCAGTCAAACGTTAAACAGCTGGTTGGCAAGGTTAATAATACGTTACCTTTTGCTGCAGATCTGAGAGTTGATCCAGCATATGCTGAGTCTGCAACATTTTAGAGCCACTAATTAGACATGATATCTTTTTCTTTTCTTTTTTTTTTGTGGAAAGCAATACTCACTGAAAGTGACAATTAATATATAAGCTTGAGCAGCAAAATAGATCGATGGCTTTACACTTGGACATGAAGATAGAAAGATGATCCAATCTTACAAGTGACCTTATCTATTAATCTCCCAAAGAATAATGCTTCACTTAAATGGGAAAAGAATAGTTTAGCAAGAAACTCTACGTAGCTGTCAAATTCTATAAGCATCTTAATTAACTTCTTATAAAGTACATCATGAAAGAAAACTACAAGCTCCCTGGCTGCAACTTTGACCTTATAATATGAAAATGTAATAACTAATTAGCACATTTTTGTCGTGTCATGTAGAACTATCTTTCACTAGTTTTAAGTCTTCATTCAGCGAATTGGAGGAGGGCGCGTTTTCATCAAATTAAAGAGTTGCATACCTTTGTGGACCTAATTTGCCGCAAAGATGCATCAAGCTGACGCTCGAGCTGATCGAGCTGCTTTGCACCCAGCTGAGCCAAGTCTTCCCCCAGAAGATGCCTAAATGAATACGAATAGCAGCAGCATCAGCGAAAAATTACCATAGGAATTGTCCAAAGAGCTAAAGCAGTACAAGTTAAAGCTTAGAAGTTAGAACACCAAAATTCTCGGTGACATCCAGGTACAATCAGGCGATGAGGACGCAGAGATGGATGTGCTAGCTGCACTAATCGTACGGCAGGGCTGCTTCAACAACCCTTGTTGTTAGGGAAAAAAACAAATGACTCTAGTCCCTCTACTAAAAGGCCTAAAAGAGAAAAGAAAAGTTGAAGGCATTAGTGCTTTGATTGATCGATCCAGGCCTCACAAGTTGAGTCGTATCCAGATCAAATAGCTCCGTACGTATAATTCTTCCAGCATTTGGTGTGAGGTCCCATCTCTGGGCTCGGCGTGCGTGATGGATCCATGAAACAGTACACTAGATAGTAATTAATCTCAGGCTACAAGTCAAGCTACTCAAGATTCTAATGGCTTGCTCTCATTGCTCTATGCCCACAGACAACTTAATTAATCATTTTAAGTGCATTAGTCGTCAGAAAATCATTGCAAGCCTGTTGTTGAAGTTCTTGTTACCTCTGAGATTGTTGTAATACCTCCACTTTTGCTTTAAGCTTCAGATACTCCTGGTAGTCACCCTGTTTCAGGAAAACCATAGTCAATTTAAGGGATCAAGAAAACAGTCGCTCAGGTGCAAACTAATTATGCTGTAGCGATGGATTTATTAATACGCACACATAGACTTGTTTAGGACTTTGGAGAAAAAGGGATCTTTTTGACCCTCTAGGGAGGGTTAATTAGCCACTAGGTCATAAAAAAAATCGCAACGGATCTTCTGTCCCACATTCTGTGCCACTTTTTATTCTGTTGCTATTTTTCCTGTATAAACATCATGTTTTAGTTCGTTTTTGTTTTTTTTAAGATCCACGTGATATCTTTCCAACTTGTGTGTGCGTGCGCGTGCGTGCATATCTGCCCGTTGTTGGAGGGGCTGATATATATATATATGTCCCTGGTTAAGGAAGGAGTCCTATAGTGCATTAACAACAAAGTTACCTGTGGATCCTTGGAGGATTGGTTCATTCCAGCATCAGCATAGCTGCATCTGTGATACCTCTCCAGCGTTTTGGACATACTACAGGAGAATTAGGAAAGGTGAAGTTAACACCAGGAGTACTAAAAGTTTCAATTTGTCCTCATCTTACGGTAGGACCAAGATGAGGAAATGGCTGCACTTAAATGAAATTCATGAGGTTTTGATTTGGTGCAAGTGTGTCGGGTTAAATATACTTGTTTGTTAATTATAATGTTTGATATATATACACTTATATAACTTATTATACTTTTCGACAACATTTTATATATATATATATATATATATATATATATATATATATATATGAACAAAATTCGAACTTTTATACACGAAAAGGATGAAATCCGTACGTGTAACAAATAGTAATATAAGCATCACCAAACCAAAACATGTACCCTATGCAATAACTGTACGCTAAGGAAGGACACATTACGCAACCGTAACTACAGCCCATATTCGTACATAAAAATAATCAGAAGCACAGAACTTTTCAGCTTCTTTTTTGAAGGTAATCAAACAACATTTGCTAACATGTCCGTTTGCGTATAAGGGTTCAAAAGTAGTCATTTATTTAGTACAATCCATGGACAGAAAATATCTTCTAAAAGAATATTAAAATAGTTAAAAAAAAAAAGAAGAAAATATTAGAAGGAAGAAGGAAAATAAAATATAGTCGAAGTGATCTCCGGGGAAACATGATTGAGGGTTAAATTGTGATGATCGATCGATCACCCTTGAGGAAATTGGAATTATTGCATTAATTTGGTGGTTGAACTTCACTTCACTTCATATATATACAAAGCTAATTAATTTAGTGGGAATCAGATTTTATCCAAAGAGTCTCTAGGGTTAACATGTATTGCTATGTCCAATTGTCCGTCCACCACAATTAACCCTATTCTACCGCCACAAACAATGGCTAAAGTAACTTCTCTCAATAATATCATGGGGCTTTAATTCGCATCAAAAGTCTGTTTCAAAATTTTAACTCATCTTTTACTTTGCAAAAGGGATTGATCGATCACCAAAAACTATAAAAGATATGACTTGATCACAGAATGCAGAAGACTCTACTTTACTGTCCAGCACATTCAAGTAAAACCATCACATCAAAAGTGTGTTTCAAATTTTTAACTTGTCTTCTTTACTCTTTTTTTTTTTTTTTTCCCCTTTCCTTTTTTGGTGCTAACTTCTTATCTTTACTTTGCATAAAGTAAGTATTCACCAAACTTGGGATATCAAATTGCCAAACCACCTATATAAGATATCATTTGATCACAGAATGTACAATCCTGGATTTTCAAATAGACTAACTCCAGATCAAGTATATATATAAGAAGCTTTAAGATTTTTTTGCCTACACAGGAACGATTTGAACATGGAAATGGGAGAATATAAGAGGCAGGTGTGATTAGTATCTAGTGTCACAATAAGAGGGGAAAAGTACATCCTTAAAATATGGATAATCTTGCTAAAGCACATTATTGTTGTTGTTTCTTCAAGAGAGAGTAACTATTAACCGACACATTCGACTTTCAGTTGTCAAAGAAAATAGATCTTGATTTTCACAAGTTCTTTCTCAAGCTATTTTTCACTACTCATAAATTAAAGAACCAAGTATATATCGAAAGCCTAAATAATAGGAACACACAGTATCAATCGTTACATTTCTAAGTCTATGAATGACAAACGTAATTGCATGCGCTAAGACTAAGTTGAATTTACCATATAGTGCATGGAGATGTGAAACGATTCATGAATGATTTATATATTTGGGATGCAACAATAAGTATTCAAGAATTTAGACCCTTGCCTTGAATGTGCTCAAAGAAAGCACCTATATTCTGAATCAGGATCAAGGTACCAATGTTAGCTAGGATTAAAGGGTAAAGGGACTAAGTAAAAAATGAAAGCAAACAGTATAAAGTTCATAGTTGAACAACACATGCATAATATGAAAATACCATATAAAGTGATTGCAACTCAAGCAGATTACTAGACGAAGGAAATTATAATGAACAACTTTACGTTCGACTGTGTGGATTAACTAAAAACATGATACTACACATTTGAATGAAAACGCTTTATGTTGATCATATGCAAGGAGTAAAAGGCACCTCTAGCAGAACGACACGTTTGATTGATGTGAATTAAATGCAGACAACCAAGGAATTGCAGCTTTGGAAAAAGCAACTCGATTCATGGCCAACAAAAACAACATTTCTTCCTGAAAAGTTTTTATTTTTATTGTTTTGGGGTTTGAAGAGCTGCATGATCAGAACATAATATCGATGATTGAGTATTCCGATGAAAGGAACAAACCACAAGACCACATATGCATAAAACTAAGTGTGAATCTTATGATGGTGACACGAGACATTTATCAAATATGAAGGTAGTCGTAGCAAGAGAAAGCAATAATTTCAACATGGTTGTTCTCAGTGGTCAAGCGACACATGTTATAACTCCATTCGAACTCATGAACATGATACCTAAATCTATGCACAAAGCACCACAAACTTGCAGCCTTGCAGCCAAAAAGCAAGCCTGAGTATTGTCTGGATGCATCCCAATGCAATGAAGAAAATGATATGCACATCAATTCTTGAGTTGGTAAAGTTCAACCAGAAGTAGGTTCATCATGCAGTGATTTATTTTCCTAATCAGATGATCCGCGCTACTAATATTATGACAACGATCTATGCTTTTCTATATCATATTTGGGCAAATTCTCGATTGATCTTGTCATCGGCCTGTTGGTGGGGCGACTTTATCAACAATTTGAGTTAAAAATCAAGATTTTAACTTGCATCAGCTGGCACCTGGATTTCTTAAGAGTACCCCTTTAAGTACACTGACAAAATACTTCATAAACTCCCAGTTCCAGACTAGATCTCAAACCTGATTATGGGAGGTCAAAATTCAGATCCAGAAATCACGATAACTATAAAGCAACAAACTGCACTCTAGCGGCATATCAAATTCTGATAACTTGTCCGCACAAATCTAGTACTAAAAAATGCACTCAAACTACTCTCTCCACCGTCACCACCACCACCACCAACAAACCCAACCCCCCCCCCCCCCCAAACACAAAAGAAAAAATTAATAAAGGCAATTCCCTTGCTTGATTTCCCACAAGTTCAAGCCAAATAATCACACAACATAGTACAAAAAACACACACATACATGGTGTGAGTGTATGTGGAAATTACAAGTTACCTAGAGCTGCTGCAGAACTCATAGAGTTTGCCACGATTGGAGAATACGATGAGAGCAACCTCAGCATCACATAGGATGGAGAGTTCATAGGCCTTCTTCAGCAGACCATTCCTTCTTTTTGCAAAGGTTACCTGTCTATTTATCTTGTTCTCTATTCTCTTCAGCTCCACTTTACCCCTTCCCATTATCCTGTTTTGTGTTAATTTATGTAACGTATCTGCAACACCGTATCAAAAACCAACAGATAATACTCAGAAAAGAATTACAATCATTTTTTCTTCACAAAAAAAAGTGTTATGGTTCTATAAAAATCTTAACAAAAACAAGCAAACATGTAACAAAATGCCACCAAGATTGGATTTTTATGGGGAAATAAGGAAAACCACATATATATGGACAAGTACACTGCCAAACCGGTTGTCTCTTTTTCTCTTTTAGGGCAGGAAGAGTTACTCTTTTCTGGGATAGGTCTTATGTTTCTTGCTGCTAGTAAGAGGGGAAAAGAAAAGTATTTTTCTATATGTGCATTCCATACATCTATGAGTCTATAGACTGTATAATTCATACGTAGATAGACATAGATGGTAAAAGAGAGTTAGGTACTTTTGTTATCGCAGTTGGCTTTAGAAGCTTGCTTATGGAATGTGGAAGTTGGAACTGATGCTTTCCTGGCAATGAAGATAAGAGTCCCAGAGAGGAACCACACGAAAACAAAAGAAAAAAATCTGCCCTATAAGAGAAACACAGTACTTGTACTGTTATGTCATTCTTATAGATTTCTTGATTTGTTTTCCTTGTGTATCATGCTTCACCTTGAATGTTACCTCTCGACTCTTGTAGTCAAATTGAAAATCATGGTCCTGTAAGAAGAAAGTTATGGACTCCTGATAAATGTTTGGAAGATATTTCTAGATATGCGGTACTTCAAGGTATAAAAATTTTCGATATCTGTTTTTCTCAATTTTATGATAGATTCTTCGCACTCATGTTTTCAGACACTGAACTTTTTCCGGAACAATATCTCCACCTAAACTAAAAAGGATCCATGTTGAGTTTTAGACCACAATTTTTTTTTTATTTTGGAGAGATGGAAATGGAAATTGTAATAAAAGAGGCAATTAGAAAAAAATATTAAATTACATCTTCAATACTAACTTGAACCCTGATCAGTGGAAAATGAGTACTTCAATATCTTGATTAACATATTTTGGTATTACACATCCTTTAATATCTTTTGTTGGGCAACCAACAAGAAAAATGCCGAAGATTTACATACATTATGGTTCTACTAGCATCGTTACAGATAATCTTTTTCAACTTCGATTACGTCTATGAATAGTTTTTTTCCCCATTTCTGTGTCTCTCTATTGGATATGGATTACTTATAATATGTATATATGTATATGTATATGTATATGTATATATTTTTTTGTGCATGTTTTTCAATTATTTTATCTCACATATATGACATTATTAGAAAATGTTACTGTCAATAACACAAATAAATAAAATTTTGAATCCAAAATCGGAGCATTTTTTTCTTTTCAATATTGTACTATTGGACCTTCCCTCATTCCTTTTATTGGATATAATGACGAGAATCGGGGTTTAACAAGTTTAAACACAAAACGTGAAGTCATTGCCCTTTTTCAGTAGCTCGACAAATACAATGAAAGTGTTTGGATTATATATTATATTCACCTTATTTACATGTACTGACTTTCTTATATTATCAATACATTTTTCAATCATATTTTTATCTCACATACATCATATCAAAAGAGTATTACAGTATTTTTTCACAAAATTATCTCAAACAATTTACGATCCAAACTTACAACTCTATTGGAACAATAAGCAGCTCTACTAGATTCAGGGTTCTTCCGAACGCAAATACAAGAAAAGGTCGGTCTTTATACCGATGTGGATAAGATCCTTTTTATCATTATTTCCTATCCAACAAATACACAAAGTAAGTATTTTTAGTTTTTACCAAAATTAAATGTCTTTTTCCTTTTTTTTTGTTCGGATGAAATTTTGTTCCGTGGTTTATGCCTTGCGTGTAGAGGACAAGGGCAGGGACGATCATCCTGAATAGTTAATGGTCATGATTTGATCAAAAAATTTTATGCGATCTAAATCACAAGTTATGCATTAATTTTAACACCGTATGTGTGATCGACAAAATTTTATACTAAACTTATATGTTATGCAAATAAAATTACTCTATGTGTAACTAAAATTACGCATTATTAAAAATGATCAAAATGGCGGGGGACGGTTGCAGCCTCTTGTCCGCGTGTGGACGATATTGCAGCGTGCTTACTACAAAAAAATTGACGGGTGGACGTCAAGTTCCAACCTTAAAAGTTTAAAACTGTCAATCATTTTTCGCAGGAAACGTGTCGAACATTGAATGGGGCATCCCCGAGTTCCAACCACAGTCAGAGTACTTTTGTTCTCTTGGACGGTTATGCCCCTGGATGATCCACTTATTGCTGAATCAGGATTCCAACATCTTTTTATTTATTTAGTAGTACAACAACAGCAAACTTTTTTCAATGAATGGGTTTCCGCGGAGAGATGAATAAAAGGATGGAGTAATAATAATGGAGTACTTTTGTTCTCATTCAACCGATTAAATACATGCACATAGGAAACTTTGTCTGACAAGGTTTGGTTAAGGGTAAAAAATACCTATAAGTTCAAATTTGAAAAATTTGTGGTTGGAAAAAATGGAAAATCATTTGAAACACCCCTCACATTTCGTCAAATAAATTTTTTATTCCTTCACTTTTAAAATAATAACTTTATGTTCTTTACAAAATCAAGTCAATAAAATTTAGTTCCAATCTAGATTTTTGGCTGCTTTTTACTCTGAATTTGTCAAGTCCATTGCTTTTTACACCCAATACAAAATCAAATCGATATAATTTAGTCCCAATCTAGGTTTTCAACTGCTTTTTACACTGAATTCATTATGTGACATAAGTAACAAAGGTTAGTTTCCATTTGTAGTTAAACAAATGACACAATTTATTTTTACCTCTAAAAAATGAGGATCTGACCTGAACTGTATTCATCTGATCCTCTAAAAAAATGGGATCTAATCCAATTCACATTCATTTTTTGCCACTAAATAAGTGAAATCTTACCTTTTTATACTTAAAAAAATGCAAGCCACATAGTGATTTCAGGATAAAAAGTGATATAAAACTTGGACTAGGACTAAATTTTGCTAATTTGAATTTGTAAGGGACACAAAATTAACATTTTAAAAATGAAGGATAAAAAAATTTATTTATCGAATTGTGAAGGATATTTCGAACGATTTTCTTTGGAAAAACTAATGAAGCAAAAGATCAAATAATGAAAGGTCTTCCAATAAACTTCAAGACAAAAACAACAAAACATGGTACATCAATGCCTGGGTCATTTGTGTTCTGTGGGCACCTTTTAAGTTTTCATGCTGATAACGGCAGTAAACTACTTGCTATAAAAGGAAAAATAATAAACAAAGGTGTATACGACTCTAAAATTACAAAATAAGAAGTGGGTCTGACGTTATATTTTGCAAAAAATTTAGATTTATGGGTCGAGTGATTACGTACGTTAAAATTTTTTTTTTCTCTTTTTTAAGTATGCTAATATGAGGGGTGATCGAGTGATGATATATATATATTTTTTACTGTACCTTTAGGGCACAAAATAGGAAAGAAACCGCTGTTGATGGATTATCATCTGGTTACAGATACAGATTTTAGATACGACTGTAAACTTGCCCTACCTTTTCATCTTTTTGCAATGTTTATTTGCTAATTAAAACTTGTCTTGTAAATACTAGCTACTTGTCAAACGTACGTAAATGCTATTAAAATGATGTCAAACCTAATTAAGCACTTGTCCAATCCAACCTTTCCCTAAGTACTTGTGAAACCCATATTTGCTTTTGTAACCCTGTTACACTCCCACAACCTACATGTGAAAGGGCCCTTCAGATATTCCTTCTTAACATGATCATCACTTAATGGTTAATAGAGTACCAGGCATATATTTAGATTTTAGGCTGAGTTAGGCTTTCTGATAATATACTCTTGTTCGTTGAGCAATTCCACAGATTAGCACGGCTCCTTTCTCACTAAATGCCAGATTTGATAGTTGAATAGGACAAGGCTGTTAATAATAACATTAATGCATGTAATAGAATTGGTCCGACATCCTTAGAGTTAGGTAATGGTATGCCATTATCTTCTTCTTTTTTTTTTTTTCTCTATGAATAATTGTGAATATGACAGCATGTATGTAGCTAGCTAGGCAATCAAATACGTTTTTGACTCTCAAGTTTATGCTGTATTGCTGGCAGAATGACAGGATGGTGAGAATGGAAATGACGGGACGCAGTGAGAATGATGTAGGAAGGAGGGTTCCTCTTTGAATTACAATCTTGTGAAAGAAGGCTACATACATCAATTCTGTCAATTTGGTATGACAAATGAAAATGAAATAACTATGCTAGCTAGGGAGATTAGTCATGTAGGTGCAAGTTATTTGGCTCGATTCTGTCACTTTCAGTTGCTATTCTTTTTCGTTTTCTTTTTCTTGTAAGGTTTGAATCTCCTTTTGAATAATTCCAAAAAAAAAAAAAAAAAAAGTTAAAAGAGCTAAATGGTTTTAATGGCATTTCTCGAAAAAAATCTTCGATATACTGAAAGAGGATTTTTACTCCTAGTTAAATCAAATAAATGGTAATCGAAATATCTTATGAGATTTAAGAAAATGGATGGTATCATTAGTGAAGACCATGCTAAATTGTCCTTCGCAAACATCCATGATGCTGGCGTGCTAACAGAACAAGCAAATGAAGGTGGTAAAAAAATTTGGGGCAGGCAAATAGTTGAGTGATAAGTACTGCAGTAACTTTGTTCCTTGAGCGGGAAAAAAAAAAAGGTTATACCTTTAGTGTGGTGTGGGAAATATAAAAGAATATTGACTTTGGAACATATTAATTAGAGCTAGATAGGGATTCAATTCCTATTTGTCAAAAAATTCAGCGACTTGTGTGGTCGGATGAAAGACTCACTTTCAATCTCATATAAGTCGTCCTCCTATAACATAATATGAGTAGGGTAAATTGATGATGTCAGATTAAAAAAAATTAATATTTTTTTCTGACAATTTACAAGCGTGTAAACGTGTGTAAGGATGGCAATGGAGGTGGGTGCTCACGGACACCCACACCGCGGGGATAGAAATGGGGTGGGGGCAAAATATTTTTCCCCCGCCTTAAAACGGGGCGGGGGGCGGGGAAACATACACCCGCCCCATCCCCCACCTCGTCCCCCGCATATAATAATAATAATATATATATATATATATATATATATCCTAAATTTTCCAAAGTTGTACCCTTACTTACAAGTACAACGTTAGTCAGTGTCAACGGCCGCCGCAACAACTGAAGA